ATTTAGGATCAATGAGATTTCTGCCTGAATCAATTACTGCTGTGATGGTTAAAGATATTTTCTAACTCTATTATTCCTTCTACATTCACTTGCTGGAATTCTACTATAAGTTCTTCACTTTCTCATTCATTCATCATTTATTTTAGCATGGACATATGAAACATTTTATTAATGAGTTATAATGTATTCCTGTCATTATTCATATTGATGCTCAAATTGTCCCAATTTTGGCCCACAGAAGCCCCCTTGGAGCTGAATCCTGAAGAATACACTTCCAAGAGCTTTTTTTTTTTTTTTTTTTAAAGATTTTATTTATTTTATTTTTTCCCCCCAAAGCCCCAGTGGATAGTTGTGTGTCGTAGCTGCACATCCTTCTAGTTGCTGTACGTGGGACTCGGCCTCAGGATGAACGGAGAAGTGGTGCCTCGATGCGCACCCGGGATCCGAACCCGGGCCGCCAGCATCGCAGCGCGCACACTTAACCACCAAGCCACAGGGCCGGCCCCCAAGAGCTTTGACAAACATATTATATCCATGTAATCACCACCCCAGTCAATATATGCAGGGTTTCCATCATCCCCAAAAGTTCTCTCCTATTCCTTTGCAGACTTTTCCCCCACCCCTAGCCCAAAGCAACCAGTGACCTACTTTCTGTCACTATAGTTTTGCCTGTCCTAGAATTTCACTTAAAATAGATGGATGTTGGGGCTGGCCCTGTGGTGTAGTGGTTAAGTTCAGCCTGTTCTGCTTCAGCAGCCCAGGTTCATGGGTTCAGATTCTGGGCCCGGACCTACACCACTCATCATCAGCCATGCTGTGGCAGTGACCCACATACAAAATAGAGGAAGACTGGCACAGATGTTAGCTCAGGGCTAATCTTCCTCAAGCAAAAAAAAAATAAAAAGAGGAAGATTGGCAGCAGATGTTAGTTCAGGGCAAATCTTCCTCAGCAAAAAAAAAAAAAAAAAAAAAAGATGGACGTGCAGCTTAGCTTTCAGCCAAAAACTCAAGGAAACTTCTATGCATATTTCTGGAGCTCTTTCTCTGAGTATCTCCCTCACTCCTCTTCCCTCCTCTTCCATACTCTGCCTTGCAAATTGCAGTCACTTCAGTTTCCCCGAGCTCTGTTATTTGTCTCAACTTAGAAAATCTGTTATGCTCTGCTTGGGTTCCTCCTCCCTGCATTGTGGTCTGGAATATGCCTTCAGATTGGGCCGGCTCCGTGGCTTAGCGGTTAAGTGCGCGCGCTCTGATGCTGGCGGCCCGGGTTCGGATCCCGGGCGCGCCCCGAGGCACCACTTCTCCGTCCAACGCGAGACCGAGTCCCACGTACAGCAACTAGAAGGATGTGAACCTATGACATACAACTATCTACCGGGGCTTTGGGGGGAAAAAATGAATAAATAAAATCTTTAAAAAAAAAAAAAAATATGCCTTCAGATAGAAAGCCACTGCAATTATAGGAGCTCATTTATTTCCTCCTCTCCCAGTGATCAGAGTCCTGCACCACCAGTTGTCCACTGTCGGAAATGACTTGTTTCCTACATATGACCTAGTTTCTATTTGTTTATAGAGTGGGAAGAGAAGTTTAGTACTATTACACCATCATAGTTGGAGGCAGGGAATCCTCCGTGACATTTTTTGAGCATTTCTCTACTTTTTAGCACAAGAAGATGCTCCATACTCATCTTGTACTTTTCCTGCCCCAGTCCTGGAATCACATTTCTCCAGGAAGCTTTGGTTCCTTTCATTAGAGAATGGTATTTAGAAACCGAGGTCTGCACGCTAAGTATGCTCATTGCTACTGGGGCATCATTGCTTCCAGGCCCATTCACCAAACAGAAGTAGAAAATACACAAACACACAAATATTTTTTTAAGTAATAAGACTATAGAATTAATTTAAATAAATACTTTATTTTAGGAATCTTTGATTTACAAAACAAATTGCAAAGATACTGCAAATAGTTCTGCACCCAGTTTCCCCTATCTTTAACACATTAGTATAGTATTTTTGTTAAAATTAATGAACCAACATTGATACATTATTATTAACTAAAGTCCATACTTTATTTTTTCTTAGTTTTTATCTAATGTCCTTTTGTATTCCAGGATACTACATTGTTTTTAGTAGTCATGTCCCCTTAGGCTTCTCTTGGTTGTGATGATTTCTCAGACTTTCCTTGTTTTTAATGACCTTCCCAGTTTAGAGGAGTTCTGGTCAGATATTTTGTAGAATGTCCCTGAATTTGCATTTGTTTGATGTTTTGTCATTAGACTGGGGTTATGTGTTTTTGAGAGGAAGACCATAAAGTGCCATTTTCATCACAGCTTATCAAAAGTACATGCTATCAGCATGACATCACTATGGCTGTTACCTGGGTGAGGTACACACATTTTTAATCTTGAGTTCCCACTAATCCAACACCACAGGGTTCTTCCTTACCTTGCAACATCCTTTATTTATACCTCTCTTCACCCACAGTAAAACACCGGCTCCCAAGAAACCAATACAGTATATCTATTCATTTGCTCAATCCTACAATGCATACACAATAGTTTCCAAATCACTACCCCAAAGCTATTATGAAAAAAATCTAAGTTGAGTTCAGAAATTACTTGATCTGTTTTGTTTCATCTTTTGTCTTTATATATTAGGAACATTAGCTCCTTATCTGAAATATATAAAGTCATAAATATCTTCTATCTATTTGTCACTTGTCTTTTGCCTTTGCTGTTGATGTATTTTGCCTTACAAAAGTGCTTTAATTTTATGTTCTCAATGGTAGCCATCTTTTCTTTTTTCTCTCTTTCTTTTTTTTGTGAAGATTAGCCCTGAGCTAACATCCATTGCCAATCCTCCTCTTTTTGCTGAGGAAGACTGGCCCTGGGCTAACGTCCATGCCCATCTTCCTCTACTTTACATGGGACACCGCCACAGCATGGCTTGACAAGCAGTGTGTCAGTGCGTGCCCGGGATCTGAACCCGCAAACCCAAGGCCACCTGCAGGGGACCGCACGCACTTAACTGCTGCGCCACCAGATGGGCCCCAGTGATCTTTCCTTAAGTCTGGATTTTTGAGTCATAATTAGAAAGTCTTTCCACACATCCAGGCTATATGGAATTCACCTCTGTACACATCTGGTACTTGTATAGTTTAATTTAGACCTCTGATCAATTTGGGTTTTATTCCTGCATGATGTAAGGTATGAATCCAATTTTATCTTTCTCCAAATGACTATCCAGTTATTTCCCAAGATTATTTATTAAAAAGTCCATTTTTACTCCAATGATTTGCCACCTTTATTATACACTAAATTTCCCTCTGTATTTGATAATATTTCTGGATTTTCTACTCTCTTCTACTGGTCTGACGATTCATGAGCCAATACCACACAGTTATAATAACAAGCTTTTTAGAATGCTTTAATATCTGATTGGGTTAGCATACCTCACAGCTTTCCTTTCTCAGAGTATTCCTAGCTATTCTCGGATGTTTATTTTTTCATTTCAACTTTAGTATCAACTTGTCTATTTCCAAGAGGGAAAATCGTATTGGCACTTTTATCGGGCTTAAATTAAATTTCTAAAGTAACTTAAAGGAACTGACATCCTTGAGACGTGCAACGACATGGACACGAACAAATCTCAGATAAGATGTTTCCAGAAGGCACACACAAGGGTACATATTCCAAAGGAAACAAGGTCAAATCAAGAGACCAGAGCTCTGGACTTGGGGCCTGGCTCGAGGACCACCTGTAGCACCTGGGACCTTCTCTTCATTCAGAGACCAGGTACAACAGGGCCTGACCAGGATATGGGGCATCGGACCCCCGACATACCGGACCACGGGGTCAAGTCCAGGGCTTCCCACACTTTCACTGCCAAAGTTGAACCACCTGTGGCAGCAGGTGACTTGGCCGAGAGAGGTCAACCCATAAAAGAAGGTTCGGATCCCAGGCGCGCACCGACGCACTGCTTGTCAAGCCATGCTGTGGCAGCGGCCCATATAAAGAGGAAGATGGGCAGGGATGTTAGCCCAGGGCCAGTCTTCCTCAGCAAAAAGAGGAGGATTGGCATCGGATGTTAGCTCAGGGCTGATCTTCCTCACAAAAAGAAAAAAAAAGAAAAGAAAACTCCTTGACATCTCATTTAAAACATTTTTGCTGATTTTATATTCTCTTTCAGAATCTACATTTCAGCTTAGAAATAAGGCTTAAAATTAGTTACCAGGGGCTGGCCCGTGGCGTAGCCTTTAAGTGCACGCACTCCGCTTCTGGCGGCCTGGGGTTCGGATCCCGGGCACGCAGGGATGCACCGCTTGTCAGGCCATGCTGTGGCAGCGTCCCATATAAAGTGGAGGAAGATGGGCACGGATGTTAGCCCAGGGCCAGTCTCCCTCAGCAAAAAGAGGAGGATTGGCAGATGTTAGCTCAGGGCCCATCTTCTTCACACACACACACAAAACAATGTTACCAGATAAACTCTTGGGCTTTTTCCTCCCTTCAAACCTTCTGGTAAAACGGCTGCTCCACGGAAATGGTGATTTAATAGGTGAGAAAAGTTTTCACACAGACACAGTTTTACACAGTCACACACAAGCGTGTATCCAGCGCTGAAGAGTTCCAGTCACACACTCAACGACCAGGTCAGAACCCAACACGACACACACTGTCACAAGAACCACCGCACACCCGGTCGCTCACATTCACCTGCAATCAGACGGAGACAATGACGCGCAGACGGCACCGCCGACGCCATAGACCTTCACACACCGACCACTGGCCTGGAAAACGCTCTGTCGTGTCCCCCACGGCCCAGCACACACGAACGTTCGGGCCCCGCACACCCTAAAACATCGCGAGAGCCTGCCTTGAGGCTTGACTTTGGTCTTCACACCTAGAAACTACGTTTCCCAGCAGACACTGCGGCGCTGGCCCAATCGCGACGCAGCATCAGCGGGGCTTTGTGCGTCTGCGCCATCTTCCGGCTCCCGAGTCCGCCGGTGCCGAGGGGGAAGTGCACCCCGGACTGCGGGGTTCGCGGCCGCAGTGGCACCTGGATCCGAGGAGGAGGCAGGTGAGGGACTCCGGAGCGTGCCAGGCGGTCCGGGGTCCGTGCGGGAGCGGGCGCCGCGGCCGGGCGGGACTCGGGCCTGGGAAGAACCGGAACGTCTCGCCCCAGCGTCGGTCTGCGGCTTTCCCGGCTCTGGACTACATTTCCCATCGGCCCCCGCGGCGCCCGCCCCGCTAGCGCCCCCTTTCTGCGTCTAGCCTCATACCGCGGGTTCATTGACCCCTTAGCTGGGTGTGGAGGGGTCCCGACCCCCTGGAGATGCTTGTGGATGTTTTACATTCATTTTTACTCTTGCTTTTTTTTTTTTTTTTTTTTTTTTAATCTGGGACGAAGTCTTGTTTCATGAGATTCTCAGAGTTGCAAGACTCCAAAAGATTTGGGACCACTAGTTTAGAAGCGAAGACTTGGGAACATTTCAGATAATCTTGTTCAAAATCTATGTCCAACAATGGGGAAATGGTTGAGTAAATCACGGGCCACTTATGCAATAAAATATTATACAGCTAATACAGATGCTAAAACAGTGGTCATAATAAGGAAAAATGCCTATTACATGATATTAAGGAACATTCATAATTATCTCATTTACACATTATTTAGAATTCAATATTTGTAAAATGCCAGGCACTGCCCTAAGTTCCTTTATAAAATGCTACTCGTGTAATGAACTCAGGAACTGGTTAAATGTCATCACTCTTAATACTCAGATATTTTCTATTCCAGTTTTGTTTTTGGTCTTTGGGTTGTTTGTTTTGTTTTGTTTTTGTTTTTAGTTCATGTGTTAGTAGGTGGGTGGGTCTGAATTCTTTTGCTGAAAGTTCTCATGTTGTACAAAGGGTCCAGTTGTGAATATCTTTCATTGTCAGTTAACGTCATCCCACAACATTCTGGATAGTTGCTTGGCGTCCGTCATACGGCTGTGCCAAAAAGGATTCAACCATTTGCCTACTTGTGGACTCTTAGGTACTTACTTTTGGCTCTGTGTTTCGGGAAATATTGTGCATTCAGCTTTGCTACTGTTATGTCTCGGTACAGACGCATATTTATGTGATGGTAATGGAGCACTGGGGCCTGCTCCATCTAATTTTCCCATTGCAACCACACTCCATTTGTTGACTCAAGGCAAGGTCCACAAAATGGTGTCCAACAGGCCTTAGGTAGGGCTGTGGGGTTCTTTGTGAATTTGGAAGTTGGGTAAAGAGCCAGGGAGACTTGTGAGGGTGTTACATTGTGGGCGTGAGAGAGTTAAATGGTCTGGTTCTGGGAAGGCTTCATTGTGGGCTGGGCTGAGGCAGATCAGGCAGGCTTGGCTGCTTGGCCTGAGGACAGCCTTCCTTGTCCTTGAGACACAATGTGATCTCAATCACTGGCCCAGGTCTGAGCATCCCTACCTCAGATTTGCATCAGTAACAAGATGGAATTTTCTGGGTATTTAGGGGAAATGGGAGAGAAAGGGCCACTGGTCCCCTGTCTCCTTGCAGTAGGTAAAGCTGGGTTTCCTGGAATTGGGTGAGGGCCACAGTTTGTCCCAACTCCCTCTAGTTTTTGTGAGGGTGGGAGTAAAGGGTTGACGTAACCATGGCATTCTGGGAGCTGTGAGGCAAGCCTGGCCTCTCATGTTTGCTCTTTCCTCCCCCAGCTCTGCCATCTCAGGACTCTGCCCTTCCCCAAGAGAGGAACCAGGAGAAGGAGGACCCGTCAGCCCATGGGATTCTAAAAGTCATGTCCCTTGTGAGTTTTAAAATCATGTAAATATTTGCTTTCCTAATCCTGAAGCTTCTCACCTGGGTTCCATCCAAGAATCTGGTTCTCAGAGGTTCCCATTTTAGGGAATAAAAAAACCAGGCAGGGGACAGCCCCGTGGCTTAGCAGTTGGGTGCGTGCACTCCGCTACTGGCGGCCAGGGTTCGGATCCTGGGCGCGCACTGACGCACCGCTTGTCCAGCCATGCTGAGGCGGCGTCCCACATACAGCAACTGGAAGGATGTGCAGCTACGGCATGCAGCTGTCTGCTGGGGCTTTGGGGAAAAAAGGAGGAAGATTGGCAATAGATGTTGGCTCAGGGCCGGTCTTCCTCAGCAAAAAAAAAGAGGAGGATTGGCATGGATGTTAGCTCAGGGCTGATCTTCCTCACACACACACAAAAAAAACCAGGCAGCTAGTACCTTTTCCCATCACCCCCTCCACTCTGACCAGTGCCCACGTATTTATTCTGTATAGCATTTCACATCTTCTGATGGCATGGTATTCTGCCAGGAGGCCAGATGGAGCAGAAATCATTTCTTTGTATAACTTGAGAGCATCCCTCAGAGGAACCGAGGTCTGATGAAAAGGAGATGAATACTTATGAGACACATCCCATAGAAAAGCAGGGGAACTAGTCTCCTTTGGTCCCGATTTCATTGTGGGGTACAGTCTCCTGCTTTGGGAGGTATCGATGGTTGGGGGTGTAATTGAGGCTTAGCTGGGAATCCATGAGAGATTAGATGCCAGGATTACGGTCCAGTTTGCAGTTGAACAGCATTTGAATCTGGGTCATTCTTTTTTTTTTTTTTTTT